AGACGTGTGCTCTTCCGATCTCCCCAAAACCCCAAAACCCCAAAACCCCATGATGGGTATGATTATTATTAAATAGAGATGTGTCAATTAAAGCTTATTATTAATATATATCTCAAAGAAATATAAGCTCAGTCAATATGGACAACCAAGGAGAAATTACTTTTGCTACAGTTAAAGAAATCATCGGCAAAACTGGTAAGACCACGCTTCATATATATCTCAATTTTGAATTCGGAGCTCAAATCATGAGACTCTGACCATCAATCATTTCATATCCATTTAAACATGTTGACTTAACTCTCTGATAGGTTCAAGAGGAGGTATCACACAGGTGAAAGTTGTCTTCGTGAACAACACCTAGAGAAGTTTGGTGAGAAACGTCAAGGGACCAGTCAGAAAGGGAGATATTCTCGCATTATTGGAATCTGAAAGAGAAGCCAGAAGACTCAGATGAGCAAGTTATTGTGAGCAACTTTATTGTTTGTTTTTTCGCAGATAATATCTTGCTTCCTTCTTAATTATTATTTTAAGATAACCTAACAATATATTGAACTTTATATTAAAGTAATTTCAAATATATTTTAAAAATCATGGCGAGTGGTTCCGTTCAATTTCAAAATTTTGTCGGCAAAGAAGTCAATGGCTTCGAGATTTAAAAACTAATTGGTACATCCTTTACTTTCTAATAGAACTATTATAGGTCAAGGAAAGTTTTCATATGTATATAAAGCACAGAGGAAGACTGATGGGCTTTGTGTAGCACTAAAATTGATCAAGGTATTTTAAAGCCTTAATATCTAATTCTTAAAACTTGCATCGTAGATTTTTGATATGGAAAATGATAAGTAGAGAGACAGTTGTTTGAAGGAAGTGCAGTTGCATTAGGTAAGCAACCATTAAAATAAAATTAACATAACTAATAATTAGTCTTTAGACCATCCTAATATTGTCAAATATCTCAACTGGTTCATTGATAATAAGCTGAATGAGCTTTTTATTGCTGTAGAGTGGGCTGAGAAAGGAGATCTGAAACTAATCGTTAAAAAGGCTATTGAAGAAGATGTGAGTTTTCCTGAAAAGAGGATATGGGAATATGTACATCAAATAGCAGGAGCATTATAGCATATGCATGAAAAAAGAATTATGCACAGAGATTTGAAACCGGCAAATATTTTCATTGACAATCAGGGAAATCTTAAGGTTGGAGATCTTGGACTGAGTAGATAGTTTAGTACGTAAACCTTTGAGGCCTTTTCAAGAGTAGGTACACCTCTATATATGAGTCCTGAAGTACTGATGGGTAAAGGGTATGATTGGAAAAGTGATGTGTGGAGTTTAGGATGCATTGCGTATGAAATTTGCATGCTTAGAAGTCCATTTAGACAAGATGATAAAGAGAATTTGTCTCTTTACGATTTATTTTAGAGGATCACTAAGGGCTAAATCCCACCAATGTCAGAAAAATATAGCGCTGAACTTAGATAAATGGTAATGGCAATGCTAAAATTAGATCCTGATCAGAGATTCGATATTAGTCAAGTTTGCGAACTTTGTGAAACTTACAAAAAAATGGTTGCAAGTAAGCCATTAATCGACACTTATCTAATAATGGATGACATAACTGAAAAATTAAGTCTCCTTGACTACGAGAATTCATTTTGCAAAGGCTGGAAATAAAAAAGGATCTCAAGAATTTACTTTGCACATGCTAATACAGGTGAGGATCCAACTTAAAGGGCCAATTATTTATATGACATTGTGTTTTGGCTGATGTCTCTAAATAAGGATAAGGTAAGTCTTAACTTGAGAAATTTAATAATCTAATTATTAGTCTTTAGAGCAAGAAACTTGGCCCATTTGTACCGTTTAAGGATTTCAAAGGAAATCTTAATGATGCTATGGCTAAGCTAATAACTGATCTGAAAAAATTTGGATATTCAGGTTCAAAGACTTTAAGATAAGAATAGATAAAGCCAGGATATGGAGACTCTGTCTGCCACATAATAGACGAACTATTGAATCTTGAGCTTTACCGTCGAGAATTTTAGTTTAATCAGCCAGTGTTCCCACCAGATGACGAGGAGTAACACTAGGATGATGAAGATGAAGATAATGAGCTCAATGACTCAATAATTTTGATTAATGGAGGATAAATTGAAGCTAGAGAGATTAGAGATTCACCAGATAATCATTACAAGGGTGGGTCTTCTTACTAATAAAGAAGGAATATTAATCCAAACAATATTGAGGAGACTAAAATTAACTTCTATGATCCAAGTCAATATTAGAGAGCGCCAGTTCCCTACATTCTTGAGAAAGAAGAAGATGATTAAATACTTGAAGGAAAGATAGATCCAATAGAGTGGCGAAAAGAGTTAGATAGAGTAGAAGTTGATTTAGAAAATATTGAGAAAGACATTGAGCTTGGTAAATTAAGAGGACAAGTAGGCGATGACGATATCGAAGAATGTCGTAGACAGATAGAAGTCATTATAGATCTCTGCAGAGATATAAAGGACACTTGCCATTAAGATGTCAGAAAAATTTTCGCCAGATCTGCTGAAAAACTAGATGATGATCTTACTTACATAAGGAAAAATGAAATCAGAATCAACTAGAATAATGCAGGCTAGATAACTAAACTCAATTAGGTCACTCTTTTGAAGAAAAATCTAGCTACTGAACTTCGGACTCTGATAGACGTTGTAAAACGCTAAGACTTTGAAAATAAGGAGCTTCAAAACAAAATAAATACCTTGAATGTAAGCAAATTCTATAATCCTTAACTAATCATTATAGCATGCATATGATGAGATGGTAGCTGATATCGGAGGTTAAAGACAGTTGAAGAAGCTTAAGGCTTCAATCGTTTAAATCAAAAGTTCAATCAAAGAGTACAACTTAAATGAGGGTGTTCTACAAAATACATTATTCAGTTGTAACTATATGAAAAAGGGCAGGCATCACTTGTTCGATGAGATCGAAAACAATAAACAATTTGATGAGTCTAATTTGGAAGATGAATTTTACAAAAGCATGAAATTAGTTAGTAGCAGCAATAAAAAAGTAAAACTACATGATGGAGCGGGTAGTAAGTCTTTCCTAAAGTCTTGATGTCTAGCATACATCAAATTATGATATGCTAAATGAGTTTGATAAAATATCTTGTTATATAATTCATAATTCCTACAATTACGCAGGCACCTCTATTTTTAAGTCTCGGGGTTTTGGGGTTTTGGGG